GCCAGGCTATATTAGTAGCCTTATTAAAGTAATAATATAATATATTATGTTACTAACTGTTATAAATGCTATTAATCTTATAAGCCACGTAATAAGATACTTAGCTTTCTGTATTCTTTATCTGTCCCTCTTTAACTATGAAATAACCTTTTAATAGATTTTTATATATCTAGTATTATTAGTAATAGATGTAACACTGTCTTTGTAATAGGAAAATAGTTATTATAACTATTATAGCTAACCTTTTTTATAGGTATATATAGTAATTCAAAGAATACTTAAAGACTATTACTAGTAATAAGGGATTATAATTTATTAGCGCCTTTCTTAATAAGTTATCTTGCCTCTATTATATTAAGCTTAAGCTATTAATATTAATATATCCTTAGATAGATAGCTAAACAGAAATTATTAATTAGATTATTAATATAAGGCTCTAGCTATTTATAAATTATTTTTAAGATAACTAGGCTTATCTTTTACTAGTACTAGAGCACAGGGTCAGCTCTAGTTTATAAATCTACAAGACTAATACCTTATATAATTAAAGTACAGCTAAGAACCCTGTTTAGATTTCGACTAGATATAGATAAGTGATAGCTTATGCTAGAATATATAAGAAAGAGCTACTCAAGAGCAGGCAAGGGAAAGCAGGTAAGGAAGTACTTACATTATATTAATAAGGTAGTAAGCTAGGCTAAAATAAATATAACCTTAGCTTAGGCTTAGTATGCTTATTAAGTTAATAAGAAACACCGCTTATCTGATTTCTATCTAGGAGACTTTATATTTATTATTAAGAAGCTATAAAGAATAAATAGACCCTTTAATAAGCTAGACTATCCTGTTATAGGCCCCTTCCGCATTTTAGAAATAGTAAGCTACTCCTACAAGCTAGAGCTCTTGTCCTCTTATTGTATCTTGCTGTTATTACACGCAGATCAGCTACGTAAGGCAGATAACAATCCTCTCCCTGGCCAGGTTCCTACTCCGCCTCCTGTAGTTGAAGTCGACAGAGATCTCGAGTAGGAGGTTGAGAAGATTCTGTCGTCAAGAATTAGTAGAGGTCGACTAGAGTACAAAATACAATAGCAAGGATGGGACCCCGACGACACATGATACACTGCTGGCAACCTGCGAAACGCTCCTCTGGCATTACAAGCTTACCACAACGTGTACCTACAGGAAGCTGGTCCACCCAAGCGACTCCAGCACTGGCTTAACAGCGCTCTGAGAGACAAGCCACTCTCAGAGCATCCGGACGACAATAAAGTAACCACACAAAGAACTCAGAAAACAATACAACGTACGTCGTAATGCCGTCGGTCTCGTGATGCTATTGTTGTGCTGTTGCTCTGCTGCTGTTCTGCTGTTGTTTTCTCATCGTTAATATTTAGGTTGTCATAGCTGCCATGCTTGTCGGCCGCTAGCGCTAGGGCCGCCGGGTATTGATTAGCACTACGCGTTAGTAAGGGGCATGCTCGCTATATAGGAGCGACCCTAGTGCTATCCTCGTCGGCTCTGCAGTCTTAGGATAGCACTCAACATGGGCTGAAGATCTCGCGTACTCGTCGCCTGCTTCTAACGTGACACGTGACAACTAGAATATGTGCTTAGAAATATATATAGATCTATTAATAATATTATAAATAAGGTTGCCTTTAAAGTTATTTTAATTAATATTTTAGCTAATAAAGATTTATTTTTTAAGAATATAAGGTAAGAGTATTTATTTAGAACTAAATCTAGGCTAAGGCCTTAAATAAGATAAAGATAAGTCAAACCAAAGTCAGAATATATTAAGAATTAGTAATTCTATCTAATTATAGAAATTTATTTACTATAATTAATAAGATAAATGTATAACTAAATAGCTTTTATAGGCTTATATTATTATTACCCTTAATAGCAGAGATCTAAGATAGCTCTTTCTAGTTAGTATTACTTTATAAAATAATAAGCAAACTAAGAAGTAATATAATTTAAGTAACATGATTCTCTAAGCAGAGTTAAGAAAGACTATTTATAAGGTAAAGAGAGAAGAAAAAGGTGATATTAATAATAAGGATAAAATAAGAGTATAAGGAGATTAATCTGGCCTATCTAAAATATATAGGAATATTATAAGGAACTTAAAATGTGTCAAAACATAATAGAATACATTAATTGTAAGTAGATAATCTTATACTTTAAACTTGTAATTTTTTGTGTCTTTATAAGCCTTAGTCTTAATATATAGCACTACCTAATATAGTTGTGCTCTATATCTAGCTTATAATAATTTAGTATCTTACGTTTAGCTAAATCTTAATTATAATATTAGCAAAGATAAATAATAGTTTAAGAGTATTATAAGAAGACTTTATAGAGCATAAGGGATTTCTATATCTATATTCTTATCTAGCTCTATTATTAGATATAAATAATATTAATATAAGCTTATTATTCTCTTTAAATAATAATATTTCTTAATGTTATTTATATATAATTTATAAAGGTTTAGCTAAAGTTGCTAAAGATAATTATAATATTATTATATAATACTATTATTATTTTTATATTAAGTATATTATTTCTTAGCCTACATACTATATAAGCTCTTAAATTATATGCTTACACCAACTTTAATAAGTAGAGAGAAGAATAAGTAAGGATAAGAGTAAGTAAAAGAGGACTTAATAATAACAGAGGACTTTGTAATAGCTTTAAGGACTGCAAGACATCTAATTCATCCTGCAAGCTTATACAAATGCGGTGACTACTAGTGCCTACTGGTCTCTGGTAAATAGATTCCTTAGGGTGTGTACACTACTGAGCGGCACAAAGGTACTAACAGTTCCTTAGAGAATGGATACTACTGAGGGCACAAAGGTACCAACATTTCTGTACAGAGTGGATACTACTGAGCAGCACAAAGGGGATAAATCATTTGGCCTCAGGCTGCGGTATCAATGCAGAGAAGTCTTTAATTTCGCCCTAACCTACTTTCGTAAATCAGCCATGAGCAGGAGGATCTCGAAGGAAGCGGCTGAGCTCCAGGCAGCAGGCTTAACTGAAACGCTAAGAGAATAAAGTGAGCAGTTGCAGCCGAGTCTGAGAGCCCAAAAGCAGGCCCCGTTGGACCAGAATCGGGCCTTGCCAGCTCCTCAGTCACCTGCTCAGCCTCTGCTCAAGGCTGCTCAGGGCTGCTCAGGCGCACTCAGTCTCGGCTCAGTCTCGGCTCAGGTTAAAGCAGCGCGGCTCAGGATGGAGGCCGTAACTGGAACTGGGGAAAAAAAATCTTATGTCCGACTATCTGGGTATTATAGGAAGATGATCAGAGGATTCAGCCGCTATATATTTAACATAGGCTAAAATGGTTGTTAAAAACTCTTTAATTCTTACATAGAGTATTATTTTACAGCTATAATAACGGGACATAGATTATCCTTACATGTAATAAAGTCTGAAACAAAACTCCTTCCCCAGAATTAAGTTGAATCTCTAAATAAATTAGATAATGATTTATAACCTCTGTTCTTACATCTTGCCTTAGTCCGTCAGACTCTGTGGTGACTAAGCCAGTGCTGTTAGGGATGCCGAGCGGTACAGATACATGAGATGGTTATGAACCTTGCCAGGGGATTCCACAGGGGGGTCGTACGCTTCATCTTCCTGACAAGTGCCGTCTGTACATGACTTTGAACCCCAACAGACTATGTAGAGTACATCTCTACAGTCATGTTAACTAAGATACATTATATCAAACCTAATCATTTCTTAGTCTTAGATGCAGGCAATCTCGAGGTCCTTGATTCTGGTTGATAGATTGATAATATTGCGTTTCGGGCTCCATTGCAATTGATAATGTACGTTAGTCAATCCCTTACTCCCGGCCGCACATGGAACTGCATACCCTATCACCTAATAGGCAGATGGCACAGTATGAACCATATCTTCAGGATAGACTTTTCTCTATCTCTGACGTATTTTAGGCTATCGTCTCCACACGTGACAATCTAGGAATTAAAAGGCTTTGCTGGCTGTTTGTAAAAAAGGGTGCCAAGAAATTATGCCTATACAGGAAGGAACGCTGTTTCCGGCCGCGGCACCAGGTAAGTACTTACGGTAACACCCATCACCCCAATACCTGAATTCATACGTAGTGGGCTGAGGAACTTGGATACTCCTGGACTGGGCCGGATCCCCTTCTACTGCTTTCCGAAAAGCTTTTCCCTACGTTAGCAAAAGCTTCGAGTTGTGGGTTGTGAGCTTGCATGCAGCTACAACCATATTTTGCATGACATTGTAGTAGCCCATGCACGACCCTACATGACCCTACATGATGCGGGAGAGGGGGATGTCGTCATCCAGCATGCAGAGTCTGGTGAACGGGTAAGGTTGATTTTCCCTTGGCGATTACATATCAAGCTGTAGCTAGGTAGTATTGATGCATTTTGGGGGGGTGGTGTGGTGTGTGGTGGTAGTGGGGGATATTGGCCAACACACTCTTTTTTCTATTCTCTTCATGTGCGATGATGTCTGTGAGTGAATGACGTTCCAGCTGGACTCCGGGTGAACATTCCCTCCAGCATGCCTCACTTAGTTTTCTGCTTTGACAATTTTCATCTGCGCTGTCGGCTTTTGGCGCATCTACTCTGATTATCGCACCAGTTCGGTATAGTCAACCTTGAGGTCAGGATAGAAAGCCTTGCACGAGGAATATGCGAGACATCCGATCATATTTTCTCATCCTCTACTGTGATCGAAGATTGCCTCGCCAGATTCACAGTACCATACATGCATAAGCGAAGGAAGACTGGTTGAGTGCAACTTCGCATTAAGAAGCATTGGAAGACACAACCTCTATTGCTTTTTAAGCGTCCTTCAGCCTTGAGATCGCTATATAAGTCGAGCTCGGAAGGCTAGATCAACTCGTGCAGAACAACTTCTCCTTATCCACCCCAGGTGAGAGAGGGTTGGTAGTCCAAGAGTAGCAGCTGCACAGGCTGGCGAACATCATGGAGCCCAATGCAGGTATAACAGAGAAAGGGTCTGAGCTTGACGGCCGAATCTCCTCACTCATACCAGACAAACGCGACCCCGAAACCCTGGAGATAGATGCAGTTGCCGAAAAGAAACTGATTCGGAAATTGGATCTATACATCGTGCCAATGGTGATGTTGCTGTACCTTCTGGTGTGGAAGCTGCCCTGCGCATTCGTATGTCCACTAACGTGTTCCGACATAGTCCTTTCTTGACCGTGTAAACATCGGTAACGCACGTCTCTACGGCATGACAGAAGACCTTTCCCTAACTGGTTCTCGATATCAAGTCGCTGTCTCTATCCTTTTTGTGACGTACATCCTCTCGGAGCTGCCCTCGAATCTTGTTCTAAAAAAATTCCGTCCTAGTCGCTGGATCGCATTCATCACGACGGGCTGGGGCATAGTCGCAACGTTGCAGGGTATCGTGCAATCGTACGGCGGTCTGATTGCGACTAGGTTAATGCTTGGGGCCCTTGAGGGCGGGCTTTTCCCTGGGATGGCAGTATACCTGACGCTATTTTACACCAAGACGGAATTGGCGCTCAGAATTGGGTATCTCTTCGTTTCTGCCGCTCTTGCGGGAGGGCTTGGAGGTTTGCTGGCGTATGCAATTGGAAACATGGACGGGGTCGCCGGACAAAGTGGATGGCGGTGGATCTTTATACTCGAAGGATTGCCAACCTTTGTACTTGGGATAAGTTGTTGGTGGCTTCTGGCAGACGATCCAGAAACGGCGTTCTATCTGAGACCAGAGGAAAAGGCCTTGATGCTTCGGAGGAAGCAGAGGCAGACATGGTACACTAAAGCCGGAGACCGGATGCACAAAGAAGACGTGGTCAAGGGCCTCAAGGATTGGAAGATCTGGATGTTTTGTCTGGGCCAATTTGGTGTGGATACGGTACTTTATGGGTATAGCACCTTCTTACCGACGATCATCCAGGGAATCGGGAACTGGAATGCGGCGCAGACACAAGCCCTGACCGTGCCCTGCTATGCACTAGGCGCGATCATATATTTGCTGGTGGCGAGATTGTCGGACCGGCAGCAGAAGAGGGGGATCTATACGGTGATCTTCGGCGCTGTGACCGCAATAGGCTATGGAGTGCTAATTTCGGACACCACCAGCGCTGGGCACTATGCAGGCTGCTTTTTGGTGGCGATAGGGCTGTATGTTGTGGTTGGGTTGCCGCTGAGTTGGCTTCCTTCAAGTGAGCTGAGAGCGAGACCAACCGCCGATAGGGAAGAGGCGCTGACCCATGTTCTGCAGACCAACCACGCTATGGTAAACGAACCACTGCTGTTGGCATGCAATTGACCATTGGCAATCTCAGCGGCATCATGGCACCGTTTGTGAGTCCCTTTATTCGGTCTTTGCTGTGTTTAACCTGGTTTGACGAGTCTTCCTTAGCTGTACGAAACGAGAGATGGGCCAAGATATATCAAGGGTCACGCTGTGACTCTTGGTATGGTAGCCTTCGCGTCCATCCTGTACGGTTACATGTGGTTCTATTTTGCAAGGAGAAATTCAAGAAGAAGTATCGGACTTGAAGACAAGAAGATCGAAGGCAAAACAGAGCAAGAGGCAGCAGAGATGGGAGACGAGTCTCCTCGATTCGTTTTTACCATTTGAGAGAACCGAAGAACTAAGAGAAATTCCTTGCCAGTCAATTCCCAGCTGGTCTCTTTTCCTCATGAAGGAGGCTGAACAGGATCCTTGATGGTCAACATACAGTGAATACACTCATGGTGGCTGTTCTGGCTGTAAGCTTGCCAACGAGGGAGTGCTTGTGCAACGACGATGCCCTAACAACATGATGCAGACTCTTCCTCAAACGTCAGTCCGCTAGGTTGTGTAGTTATTCAGACTGCCAGATACTTGGCCCCCACCAACACATGATAGCACAACCTTTCATCGTGTCACTGCCGAGACTTTACGAGGATGCTGGGCGAAGCGCCCAGGAGCATGAAACAAGGCGCCCAAGCAAGGTTCCCTTTGTCGAAAGCTATTACTCGTGTAGAGCTGTGTCAGCCTTCGCAAGGCTTCAGATTCGATTGGTGGGTTGGAGAGGTTAGAGTGCGACGAGGGAATTGTTGGTTCAGGCAGCCTGATTTCTGTAGGACAATTTGCCACAACTATATCATCCGTCTCTCCCTTGCATCACTTGTTGCTTTTGTACAACGTGTCCATAGGCTGTCAACGTGTGGTCTGAAATCATCACACGTGATTGAGCTCTGGCCCCACACCCAATCGAAGCTGTCGTGGAATCAGGGAGCTTCACTATCGCAAATCAGACACCAATGAATGGGTGGATGGGATGACACAGGCCAACCGTCTTCTCTGGATCGACAGGAGATCCCAGCCAGGGAAGGATTGGCCTTACGGATTCCGGGGGAGCTTTAATCCAACGGCGGAGCTCATGATTTCTGCCAACTCCAACTTGACCTTCCTCTTCTTTCATTCTTTTCATCGAACATTCACCTGGAAGATATCAATCAACCTACAACCTCTCGGGGTAATGCAATCCATTGCTGGGTTGGTGAACGGTGCAGCCCAATCCGGTGGTCCACCCCCAGGCATTAGGCCTTTGACAGCGCTGCCCCCAACCCCAACTCCAACCAGGCTCGGCCGCTAATTAGCCGGAACCGAAACAGCTCCAGGCTAGAAGGACGCGTACCAAACAAAACACCTGCGCCCAAGCTCTTTAGGCACTCCACTGCAGTTCCGCGTCCAAGACATTACCTATTGCTGTCCACTTCTAAGGGCCCATTCTACCTTTGCAAGAATGCCACAAGCTCCTTACACAGTGACCAACAGCTTCAAAGGGTATGCATCCTTTTGCGATTAATCCTGTCGAACCGAGATAATGCTGACAGCTTGACCCAGGGGATTGCAGATGCGAACTTATTCAAGAAATGTCCGACGGACTTGGGACGGTGATGACTTTCGGCTTACCAAACGACAGCGCGTTGAAGCCAACAAAATAACCAACGAGAATGACGATACCCTGGAGCGTGCAATCCGTGCAACTTCAGTCGCTGTTTCTTCCAGTGCATCACGCAAAAACTCGACTGTCTTCTCCCATGAATCGTATGATGACGAAGCTACCGTCACGCCACCCTCGTCACCGCCTCCTCGCCTCTCGCCACCAGCCGTCAAGGCGCGCAAACCGACCTTCTCGTTCTTGAAGCGCAAGCATGATGCGATGCGCGAGAAGTCAGAACCGCTGGGCGAAGTTATCAATTCGAGTAATCGCAGTTCCATCCCACCCAAGAAGCAACAAACACTGCATCAGATGCAGCTCGATCTGGGAGGCCCGTCACGTAAGACGTGTCCTGAATGTGGCATGGAGTACGTGTTGGCAAACGAAGAGGACGTGACTTTACATCGAATGTTCCACAATATGAACAGTGAGGGCGTGGAACTTGGCAAGACTTTCATGAAATCGGCTATGAAATGGGTTTATGAAGTGTCTCACATTGAAGGCTCTGTGGTAGTGGTAGATCGGAAGATATCGCCACCTGCCCGCAAGGTAGTTCAGAAAGTGCTGGGTACAGTCAACAAGGAACTTTCGGCGGTTGATATTGACGACGCGGTGTTGTGGAGCCAAAGAATACTGAATGATAAAGAGTCTGGATCTGAGATCAAGCAGTCGGATTCTGAGAAGCGCAATGACCACAAGAGTGATCGTTACAAGGTCTTCCTCCATGTCAAGGATGGCAGATGCGTTGGGCTCTGTCTGGCCGAACGAATAACCAAAGCACACCGCGTGAAGAGAGAAAAGAAGGAGAAGGACACAGGACAAACACCCAAAGAAGTCAGAAGTTCATCCATATCGATTGAAAAAAAGACGGTGCAAGCAGTGGTAGGCGTATCAAGGATATGGACATCAAAGTCTTTTAGACGAAAAGGCATCGCCAACAATCTGTTGGAGTGTGTGATGAGCCATTTCATATATGGGCTGGAAATAGAGAAAGACGAGCTAGCCTTCAGTCAGCCCACCGAGAGTGGAGCTCAATTAGCACGGGCATGGTATGGCGAAGAAAGTGGATGGCTTGTCTACAATGAGACTTGATCTGTGGAGGATAGATCGGTGTTGAGTGAAGCATGTCTGGATACAAGTCTGGATAGTATTGAAAGAATTGAGCTAGATATCTGTCTCTGGACCTGTCTGTACTCTCTAGATTCTCTTCTGCCGCTATACAGCATTTTCTGCAGATAACGTACGATCCCATACCCAGTTTTGCACTTTTTTTTTTCTTCACTTGGGCATCACCCGCCAATCCAACCAGGCTGTTCTACAATTTTAAGGAGGACAAAGTGACGGAAGCTGAAGAAGAGCGGGCAGGCCCCAATGGAACATGTCCCATTCTGCCACAACCGCATGGTTGAAAGTTTGTGCAGTTGCGGGAAGATCCTCTAGCCTGCAGGAACCGCTCAAGCCCCGTCCGCCCCACTACAGGGATGTCAGCTTCCAGTTCTCTCTTGACTGCATCAAGCACTACAGAGTATCATCATGATCAGATACCTACTACTACTCGTACTATTACAGCGATAGCGTCAGCGACACTGTTATAGCGACAGCGATGATGATGCACTACTATAGTACATTTTTTGGTAGCTCATACAAGCAGGAGTACTCTAGAGCGAAAGCAAACTTACCTTAACCACGGAATGCTGACAAAATCTCGAGCAAGTCATGGTCTTGGTGCTTGGGCGCTCTTCCAAGAATAATCATCCTCTCTGGCGTCACCTTTCAGAATGCAGCCTCTGCATATGCACGAGTAGCACCCATACCAGCGCATGATATAGATTTGTCAGTGATCGTAGCACAAGGACTGAATGTTAGGTCCTGCACGCTGTTGAAACTCTCCTCACCCAATCTGTTGTGGTGTACGCAAGCATCAAATGGACTTTGTCAAAGTACTGGTTCAGTTGAGGATATGACTGCACATTACTTCTGCTGCATCATATACTTTAAAGCATCCCGTAAGTATTTGGGGCGGACTTCTGGTGAATTCCATGTTATCTGTCAGCCACTGTGACTAGTCTCAATGGAGCTTTACTAGGGTGGTGGCTTACGACTCACTCACGCAGCGGTGCTCTATCTCTGGCCCACAATGGACAGACAAGGATGCGGACAGAGGCTTTCTTAACCACTCCTAAGTACCCCGTAGTGATGCTGCTAATTGGACCGGGGGACCATGGCAGCACTGGCGTGTGTTCTCTTCTTTACTACGTTACTAGCTCAAAGGCTTGTTATCGTCATTGAGTATGTGCTTCCCCTAGGAAAATACACACTTGGTGATCAAACAATCATCGATTTCACTCGCTCTTTACCCACGCTCTTCTTATCCTCACGTGCAACCGCTCCTTCTAGTTGTGATACTGCTATTTCCTCAGCTCCGTTGTCACTGCTGTCAACACACTCTTCGCCGCATACGGCTTGTCACTCGTTTTGTACTTCATTCTCCCCACCTGTCGGTCATTAATTGCAGCCATACAAAGTCTCTCGTTTACCCTCCCAGTGTCTATGTCACCCTGACTACATCACTTCAATGACCAGGCGATTGACCCTAGGTGGCCGCTCTGAGATGGGACTTCTGTGTGAGCAGAATGACCCCGAGACACCACCACCCCTATGGACACCTCCCAAGACAGATTTCTGGAAGCGTCCGTCCAGGTGGCAGATCTGTATTCCTCGTTTATGGTTTGTGGCCAAGGTTGCCTTGTCACTGTTCTTCTTCCTCGTCCTACTCCGTATTTACTATGACAAACACTCTGGGGGGGTGGACCAAACAGCAACTGAGGCTGAGATTATGGAAGCAGCTCAGCGCGACAACTGGCTATGGAAGGACTTTTCCAGGTTAGCCATGGTGAACATTCAGAGCAATGCAGCCATACGCTAACGTTCTCTTTTACAGACATGATGGCCTGACCCGCGGGACATTCGATCTCAAGTTAGATTGTCAGCTTAATAATGAGAGATGCGACAAGAATACACTACATATGACCCGGTACAATGGTTATAGGAACTTCGAGGAACCTGTTTCTGAGATCATACCTTGTGTCGGACCTCGTGGCCTGCCTCTAAATGAGAGCGTTGAAGATGCCGTTTGGGCTTATGAAGGAGTAGCCAAAGGTAACATATTCTGGACTTGACCGAGTAGGAAGTGTTGTCTAACAATTTCCAGGTGCTGTTGAGCCTGTTCTTGGATCTTATGAAGCGTCAGGTCTCGATGGCTCTATCTCGTTCGATCGGGTTGGTAGGTTTCAAGCATACGGCTTTGATCAATACGACTCTCTGGATGTTTCGGAACTCGGGAAATCAAGTGATGTGGACTGGAACGAGGTCAGATGGGGTGAACTGCAAGATGTATGCGTTGATGCCAATCACGCCCGTTTCAAGCCGGTCAAGGAACGTCAGCAAAACTCGATTCAGTATTCCAACGTCAGGCATAAACACAATCGTCCCACCAACAGCGAGGAACTAGCTGCGCCCACTCCAGGGAAAGTCAACAAAATCAAGAGAACTGCCATCCTGATTCGGGTATGGACAGGGGCTACTTGGAGTGCTGACGCAGTCGTCAACCTCCGCGCGATGATCGCAGAGGCTTCCCTGGCAAGTGGCGGCAAATATCAGGTCTTTATCTTGCTACACGTCAAGGATGAAGCAGTTCCGTTGTTTGTTGGCGAGGACGAGCCGATGAACACCATTCGCCAGAACATTCCTCCAGAATTTCATACAATTACGGAAGTTTGGAATCATGCCCAAATCCGAGGTTTGTACTCGAATCTAGCAGAACATGCCTTTGTCGGCCGGTCGCCCTGGATGATTGTCCAATGGTTTGCGCGCAACCATCCAGAATTTGACTTCTTCTACCAGTGGGAATTTGATGTTCGATTCACCGGCCACTACTTGGATTTCTTCGAGTCCATCTCCTCGTTTGCCCGGAAACAGCCTCGGAAGGGCATCTGGGAACGTGCAGCGCGGGTGTATATTCCTTCGGTCCACGGGGATTTTGATACTCAGTTTCGTAGTCATGTCCACAATGAAGACCCTCACCATGTTTGGGGACCAGTCTCGGTGGAGGGTGTCAAACCTAGGGGTCCCAAACCACCCACTCATGCTGCTGAAGACCACTTTGAATGGGGTGTTGGTGAAGATGCCGACTGGGTTGGATTTCTTCCAAGCTTCAACGTGACGGATACGAAATGGTGGTTCAAAGATTATATTTGGGGTTATGCGCAGGGCACATCGACTCCAAGACGAGCGACACTGATCGCTCAAGGTCGCGTGAGCCGACAGCTCCTTGACATCATGAATCACGAGAACGCCGAAAACGGCCATCTCATTGATGCAGAGATGTTTCCACAAACTATGTGCCTTCATCATGGCCTCAAGTCTACGACTTTTCCGCATCCTATCTTTTCCGATCGTGACTGGCCACCAGCGGCTCTACAGCAGATCTTTAATCCAGGACCATTCGGTCAGGCGGGAGGGACCAAAGAAAGCACCTTCAGCAAATGGAATGAATACGCCTGGACTAACATGACCTGGTACTTCAATTCAGCTCAAGCTAAGCCGGTGTACCAGCAGTTTCTAGGCATCACAGCCCTTGATAAAGGCGGTTCTGAGTGGGAAGAGGCTTACGGGAGAGCGGTGGTGCGACCTATGCTTCTTCACCCTGTCAAAGGTGCAAAGTCAACTAAATGGACCAAGGATGGATGGTCCGAAACCAAAGGTGGCAGATGAGGTCAACAACCAGCGAACTTACCCATACTCACCTGTGTGCCTACTCTCACACTATGCATTGATCTCACTGAGCAGTCGCATTTGCACCGGAGTTTTGTTGGAGTTCGGGTTCCACACGGAACTGTGTTCTCTTCTGGATGACCAGTCACAAAAACCGGCACAGCAACTCCAGAATATGGACCCAGCGCGTTTTGCTTTACGATCATAAGTCATCCTGTCATCAGCCTTTGTATATTCTTTACTCTACTTGGAGGATGGATCGTTTTTGTTACAGCTGCGATTGAGGACGGAACGGCTGGATATCATAGAAAATGAGGGCTGCCGAATTGCTTTGCACATTGAGCGACATACCACCTGTGGCTAGGTATACAGACCAGTCTTAAAGAATAATCACACAATGACAAACATACTCATTGAGACCAAGAGGATGTAACATTGATGGATTTGTTAACGAATGTCTCGGTAAGTACATCAACACCACAACACTGTAGTATCAAAGTAAGAAACCGATCTCCAACACTTGGCATGCTCCGTAGGCAACGCAGCCCTTCAATGTGAAGACGGGCATACTTAAACCTGGACTTGCCATGCCATCCTATCTGCGGAGAGTCTCCCTGTGTATTTCAAACCATAATCCCCGCTTCCATGCACAAACTATGGCATCTATTACATGATGTCTGGGTCAAATCCTTTCCGCCGTGACAATAGACCTACGGTGAGAGAGACAGCAAATCCTAGTCTTCTTGATGATCGAACAAACGCGAGCAATGGCCAACCCTTGTTGAAGGTAGAAGGTATGGTGTTGCACAACCTACAGCATTCCAACCTAACAAGTTGCAGTACCTGCATTGCACCGTGTCACTCCTACAACAAAGCGTGTACGCATTGCTTCACCGCCAGTGCCCATATCGCCTGAGACCCCGGCTTCTTATGCTTCTTCGCCTGAAGAGATACGACATAGTGGTTTACCGGGATCAGCATCGTTGACAATACCAGGAAGCGTCCCATATGCACAAGCGCTGGCCTCGAACCCATTTCAGTCTTCCTTATCGGATGGCGAGCCAGAGGATGTGGACATAGAAGTGCTCGAAAACACGCGGAAGAACTCAGCACTTGGGTCGAAGTCCGACCAGGGTAGTGGAGAGGAAACGTCAGATAGAGTCAAGGCAACTTTGGCAAAATTTGCCAGCTTGCCTCATAAGTCGGCTGCGTTACCAGACTCCAGACATGGTGAACAAAATGAGCTCAGCAGCAACACGTCTCGACCGGCTATGGATGTTGACGCCTTCAAGAGACTTTTACTGACTGGGGTATCTGAGCCACCTACTCCTCGAGCAATACCAGCGTTGACCCAAGCGCCGTCGCAGCTGGTCTTGACGAGTGATAGTAGTAGCAGCAACACGGACACAGCTTCTATATCTCAACACTCTATATCTGAGCCGATAGCACCAACAGTTGCAGATACACCTCGAACATCGCTAGAGTTACAGAGAATAGAGATTTCCGGCGACCGGGGTGCAATAGTTGTTGATAGTGCAACGAACAAGAAGCCACCAATTCCAAAACCACGGCATGGGAAACCTCTTAACCACAGCGCCACCACTCTCTCAACTTCCACAATCCGGCAAGCTACAGCAACTGCTGATGTTCCCGAGAAGCCTCCTATCTCTTCACCCTCGGACCTGAATAAGCCTCTTCCTCTACCCCCAAGAGACAGCTCATTTCCTTTAGTAGCCGATGCTAGCCTGTCAGACGACTCACAGGCTCGTCTTTTGCTACGAAGGCCTCCTACACCACCATTGACCCGTCGACAGAGTCAACGGAGCAGTCAGCCCGTACCAATATCCTTCAGTGAACCCCAAACTCCTCCTCTTATCGAGCAGATGGGCTCTGCCTCTCCCATTGGCCAGAACTCGAGGGCGGCGGACTCAAAGGCTCCTCCACCACCCCCAACAAGACGGCAAAAGCGCGCTAGCGCCACTCAGTCTCAAGCATCGGAAGCAATTGTACAAGAAGGAATTGATTCTTACATAACCTCTACACAACCTCAGTTATCTCCAGCATCATCCGTCAACAGCCTTTTGCAACCTAAACTTCAACCACCACCCTCTAGAAATCCTTCGGCTGCGAAGCGGCTGTCACGCGTTTCCACGGCTTCACCAACCATGGCTCCTCCCCTTCCGCCCCCGCGCAGAGTGCGAGGATCAAGTCGTGGCAGTCTTGAAGGTCCAACCGCGATCTCGAGCTCCGACTTGGATAACGGCAATAATGTTAGGCGACCGAGCACAGACAGCTACCGGAGTGTGTCCGGTCAATCTGCCTCTAAGGATATTCTTGCAGATCTGGCTGCCTTGCAGAAGGAGGTTGATACGCTGAGAACTAAACAGAAATACAGAACAGACAGTACGGAATAATGTCACTCATATTATTTGGTAGGTGGTACTCAGAATTCAAACCCATCAATTCCAACGTCCATGCACCTGCCACAATGCCACAATGCTTAATATTGTTCGAGGATCATCCAAGTAGTCTCGTCAGTATTAGCCCACTCAGAGTCTGTGTGATAAGGTCAAGACACGCCAAGTTTCGCTTTGCCGCTGTTAGCCTGCGGCTGTTAACGTACCTGACCCAGAAGTGCAACAGGTCCCCGTTGCGCTTCTGGGTCAGGTACGTTAGCCCGGTTTACTGCATACAGGAACTTAAATATGGCCTGTAACAGGGAGTACTTGTATCCCCTAGTATGAGTAAGGCTGCATCCTGTACCCGTAGCTACGGCTTAACCGCATTCCCCTTCACCTTCACATTCATACCCACATCTACACCCACACCCACAACGACCTTCAAAACCACACCCATCCCTTGACAATATCCATGAAAGGATAAATCCTCGACAACACCCCTTCCTAGTGCATTTTGGCAGTCGCCCAGCAACATACCTGGCGCCAGGCATAGCTTGAACTACTCTCCACTACGCCTATCTGCGAAAAAGCAGATCCTGATCTCAAAGATGACGACTCCTACTTTGTTCAATCTACCACCTCACCCCACTGAACCTGCCACACCTTCAGATATGGGCCCGTGGGTTTGCATTCTTCTACAGTGGATACATGAAGATTGCAGGATAGCTGACGTTACTGGTTGCAGGGGCACCCCCAATTCAGGCACAACCTCCCTGTCCGCGCTCTCTACAACAGCCATTAAAGATGGTCACCAAGGCCATACTCTACCTCATGGTCACCATCACCACTCCGTCAGAGATTCGACCTCCTCTAATAATACCCTGGATGCGGAACGAGCCGATCGCATTTCACGACTTGCTGGCCTGGAGCGTGTTGCGACAGTCCGGCCCTCTCAATCCAGCCATCTCAATCCAGGCTCTGGATCAAACCCTCCCCCGGGCTATTTCGATAACGTGCCTCCACAAGTCAAGGAGCGAAGTACGGTTGGGAGCGCAAGCGCGACTGGCAGTGTTGGTGGCAGAACCACGTGGGCCAGCGGCAGCATCGATTATGACGCTGACAAAATGAGCGAGGACCAAGATGACGGTGTGTCCAGCACTGGTGGCTTCAGTGACGAGAATGCAAGCTTGGTGGGGTTTGGCGAAGGTGCAGGCAGCACTGTTTCAGTTCCCATATCTACAACCACGTCAAGAGCTGCAGCGGCACGCTACCACCCTGCTGGCAGCCCTTCCACCAGCAAGCTCGCTTCTACACCATCAGCACACATGCCGCAGGTTGGAACACCCATGAGCGGTGTTGTGCCTACAAGTGCCACAACAACAACCGTGGCAAGTAGCACAGACCCGAGGATGATGGATGGCATGTCTTATGATGCAGATGTGACTGATACGACTATGCAGCCGCCAACGCCAGTCAGCCAGCCGCAACATTCAAGAGGCTTTAGTGGTCAAGGAGCCGACATGGCAGAGAGCATCATGAGGGACCGGCTACCTGACAACGAGGCTGGCAGACCAGCAATGAGCACTCCTGACGAAAGGGGAGAAAAGCTAGGGAAGTTTCCGTTTGAAAGAAAATAGAACATGAATTCCCTTCCCGGGGACGGGTCTGGGTTAATGGATGCTAAGTTATCACTCGACTGGTGCTTTACTACGAATGGGAAATCAAAACACAACAAGGGGAGGGGTTGAAAGTCATGGGTCCTTCCAGCAAAAAGTTCCAGGCGCAGTGGCCGGCGTCTTATTGTATGAGTCTGTATCAGCGCGTAGCCACTATTACTATACGTAGTAGGCCATTCAGTTGGACCATCCCCGAATCAATTGCTGGCCACTGTCATTCCATAGTTGCAGAGATCGACGCCTAACTTTAGCCCTGATGCATTAGCTCACGGTTTAGCGGTTTAGCGTAAGATAGCACGATGCTTCCCGCCAGACTAGTAATTTGGACATCGGTTACTAGTGACTTAGTTGTTGATTTGCTATTTCCGCCCACTGGATGCATTTTCGATTGAGGCTACCACGCAGCCTACCTTTCACTCGTCTTCTCACTCCCCACTACAGTCACCGTGTCTTCACCTCCAGCTTACGCCAGCAGCTTCATCTATCGCCTGCAATTTGCTGACATTGACTTGTCAAGTACAGGTGAATTTGTGCCTGTGACCGGCTGTCGTTCACCATCACATCTTAAGCAGCCTAGAACACTCGACTACTTCTGCCAAAGCCTCCTTCCCAGCCATTAAGAGCGCGTGTGTGATCAGCATATCTTCTTAAGCCCTCTATCAGAAGATATAAAGGAATCACAAGAAGTCTCGCTATGGCGGCCACCACACAGTTCGCTTGTATGTGCATCCCTGCGATCGTTTAAATCTGCAATATTGTGAGTACACAAACCTAAAATTTGTTAGATCGCACACTCAAGGGCATCGGCATTGTCAATGGTCCGCCTTCATATGAACCGCTTGAGGGCTTTACAAGGTATGTCCATGCCGCTTGTGGAGCGTCGTCTTGACCTTCGGACTCCGTGCGCCCTGGGTGCCATAACAGAGGTTTCTGATTATCTGACAGGCCGGAGGGAAATATACGCTGCTGCATGTACTCCTCATGTGGTCGCTACTTTGCGTGGGCGACAACAGAAGAGTAAGCTGCCCTGATATGGACTCATCCGGTTGCTGATTGCTGCCAGGGTCAAGATAGTTGATGCCTCCAGCGGCAACGTTATCTCCCATTTGCCTGCGGAAAATGTTTACGAGCTTGGCTTCTCGCCTTTAGAAACCTATGTTATCACCTGGCAACGGCCGTCAAAGGATGAAGCCGGCGACGCAGCGAAGAACCTGAAGGTCTGGCGTGTTATTGATGAGAGCCCCGCCGGCGGTAAGTACATGGGAAAGCAAACGGTTGGCAAGTTCGTGCAAAAGAATCAAACCGGTTGGAACCTGCGATACACATTCGACGAAAAGTTTTGTGCACGAGTTGTCACAAATGAAGTCCAGATTTATGAAAGCCACGATTTGACCAAGGTCTGGAATAAGTTACGCGTGGAAGGTGTGTCAGATTTTGCTGTATCACCTGGCGAGAACCATTCCATCGCGGTCTTCGTGCCAGAAAGAAAGGTTTGCCATTGATGACATTCAAGGTCGACAGAGCTGACTTTTGTTCAGGGATTACCAGCGTCAGTTCGTGTCTATAATGTTCCTCAATTTGATACTCCGGCTTCTCAAAAGAATTTCTTCAAAGGCGACAAGGTGCAGCTCAAGTGGAACGACAATGGAACTAGCCTTATTGTGTTGGCACAAACCGAGGTCGACAAGACCGGCAAGAGTTACTATGGCGAGACGACTATGTACCTCCTCAGCGCCAATGGGGGCTTTGATTCAAGAATAGACCTCGGTATGCTCAGACTTTCCCGACCCATACATTGTGCTCATGTTTCTTCCAGACAAAGAAGGCCCAATCCATGATGTTTCGTGGTCGCCAAAATCGAACAGCTTTGCCGTTGTATACGGTTACATGCCGGCCAAGACGGTAATATTCAACGCCAAAGCTCAGCCCACCCATACGTTTCCACTTGCTCCTCGTAACACGGTCTGCTTTTCGCCACATGGCAGGTTTGTGCTGGTGGCTGGTTTCGGAAACCTTGCTGGCCAGATGGACATCTATGATCTCGAAAAAGACTATTCCAAACTATGTACCATCGAAGCGAGCAATGCGTCGGTTTGCGAGTGGTCACCAGACGGGAAACATATATTGACAGCGACGACCTCACCTCGACTCCGAGTAGACAACGGCATCAGAATCTGGCGTGCAAGCGGAGGGCTAATGTACAACGAAGATCTCAACGAGCTCTATCATGTGTGTTGGCGACCAGAACAGGGCTCGGCAGCACCACTGGAGGAAAATCCATTCTCTTCTGTGCCAGCACCACACGCTTCTGCCTTGAAATATCTCGAGTCGGTGAAGACTCCTTCGAAGCCAGCTGGAGCTTACCGACCACCAGGTGCGAGAGGCCAAGTCACACCCTTGGCATTCAAGAGAGAGGATGAAGGTGGTGCTGCGTATGTTAGAGATGGGATTTCATCTTTTGCCAACTACGTCAATGGGTTTGGAAAGTCCAAGTCACGTGTGGTGCCAGGTGCTGAAGCAGCAGAAGACAAATCACCGCTCCCACCTGGAGCTGCGCCTGGGGGCGGCGTCAGCTTGACTGGAACTGGTGAGGGGATTGACAGTGAACCGTTGTCGAAGGCAGCAAAGAAGAATGCAAAGAAAAGAGAAGCTAAGAAAGCGGCGGCGGCAGCAGCGGCGGCAGCAGCAAATGGGGAGAGTGCGCCGCTGACACAGCTGAAGCTACAAGGAAGAATACTAGCCATAGTCCTGATAGGGGAGCGCACACAACGGGACGCGAAAGAAGCCGAAGCAAAGGATACGTGCCGGCTCCTGCAGTACCGCCCGGACTCGAAGCAAGTGCAACGCCCACACAAGGCCCGAAGGCAGAGCGAAGCAGAAGTGGAAATCGAAGACAGCGCGGTAACACCTCGACTTCAGTAATCTCAAACCGATCGACTACCCAACAAAACGGCATGCCCAAGGGGCCTATTACCATTCAGCAGCGTGGGACTCCCACCACGCTCAGTACTACGCCGCCTCGGGCAACATCTGGTGCTGAAACTCCCGAGCTGCAGATCACAAGCCCAACCAGTCCGGGCAGTGGTGGCCACTTGCAAGAAAAAAAGGTTCGAGGTCTACTGAAAAAGGTTCGAGCAATTGAGGATCTGAAGATGCGATTGGCTGGAGGTGAGAAGCTGGAGGATACCCAGATGAAGAAGATTCACAGTGAAGACTCGGTGAGAAATGAGCTGAATGCGCTGGGATATACTGGATGATGCATCGTTCTTGCTGTAGATCATGCTAGCTAGCCAATGTCAAGCCCAGTGTATGCTGTTCGCTGGATAGGAAGCAAGACACTCCAGACACTCCAGACACTCCAGATCATGTCTTTCGGTTTCGGGTGGCACTGTTGGGCGTAAGTGTAAGGGGCTAGAATGATCCGATCGTCAGGCTGAATCCAGTCTTCGGTTGATATGACTGTCGGCACAGCAGGAGGAAGGATACGAACTCGAATTCACCACTGGGGGAATTTTCGTGTGCGTACTCAGATCCGCCCTTTGCAAGCTTGACTACTACTTTTGACCACCATTGCACCCGAGTAACGACTTTGCTCCTGCACAATAGTCATCTCAGAAGCAGACCGCCGCTCTGACCTCACTACTCTCCCTCGGCGGCTCCTCCTCCTCTTCCGAGCAATCCATCTCCAAACTAGCATGAGGCGTCCTCGTCACTCTTCCCTCGGCACCCTCACTATCAAAGATGTTGATCAGCTGCACTTCATCCGGCCGCTGGTCACTCATCCAATACCACCTATTGCCTACATTCCAACACCACAGCGCTTGCACCAGCCCTGAACAAGGACATTCTCGACCTCCTTGCCATCGGGATACATCCTCCTCAAGGGCCACGAGATGCTCGTCAGCGAGCGTCCTCGCATCACAAACGCCTAGCGGATCGTGCTTGATGGGTCGCCAGATCGACAGGACGATGAATCAACGGCCCCGACCCCATAATGAGGACTACTACTTCATCCTCACTGCTAAGGGCCCTAGACCAGCACCAGATGTGTGCCTCACCGCGTAAAGTCGATATGCAGGCGTGAGGTGGGCGCTTGGCCTCGGTCGGGGCCTGTTTCCAGGCCGAGTCTGAGGGCCGGAGAAGTTGGTTTTCCGGTGGGGCAGAACGGACGATGTGTGGAAAGGAGGACGATCCCGTCTGGATTCTGGGAAGTGGACTCAGAGGAGCTGTTCGAGCTCGGGATAGTAGCGGGAACAGATGCTGTCGTTGTTGCTGAAGCTTTTCTCGACGCTGGAATGGTTGAGTATGCAGAATCTGTTCTTGTCGATACTGTCTGTGATCGGATTCATGGCCTCGGATGTCATGGACGGGGAGGCGCCGGGTATCCTGGTCTTTGGTGACCAGGATGAGCTCTATTTAAGGTGTTTACACTTGGAGAAGTAGAAGGGAGATGGTTCGAGCCTGTTCCGGTTGGTGTTGCGTGGGAGATCATAATTAAGTTTAGCTAAGAATTATTCGCGGTGAGGAGCTGTGGCAGCCACCGTCCCAGTTCATTCCTCCTTTCACATTTTCCAATCAAATCAAGTCAGATTGGGCCGAATTGGACCACGGAGATCCTTGGGTTTACCTAGAACCAAGCCTGCTTGAATATACGGTGGCAGTTACCCACGATAACATATGGAACATGTTCAAGATCACTTGACAATTGATTGGAGGGCGGGGTGGGCTCCCAATGCCAAGCCTGCCGACTGTCTTGGCCGAAATACTTAGTAAGGAACACTCTGCATTGAGGTCAATGAAAAAATCATCTTGGGATTGGTGAGCCTCATTCCGATCTCTTCTTGGTAGGCTTTAAACATCCACCATGCCCAAAGAGAACAGGCAGCGCGGTCGACTACAGAACAAGAAAAGAAAGAGAGACGAGTACGAGAAGGGCAAGATCGACATTACGAGGCATCACTCGGCACATCCACTTCCCACCACTGACGCGGGAGACGGTGAGGCCGAGATCGAGATCCAGGTCCAGGGCGAGGCCGGAGATGAATTCATCAGCTTCGGCCAGCCGACCACTCCAGCTCGGAGCGCTGTCGATGACCGACCTTTCTATGGCCTGCTCGATGAGCAAGAACAGGCGTACTACACCGATGTGAATGCGAAGCTCGAGGCGAACGATTTTGGTTCACCCGAAGACAAGGCGATTTTCCTTGATGCGGTATATCGTGAGTCCCAGGGTAAGGAACTCAAGATTGCCAGCAGTCAATCGTGCTCTAGGTATCTGGAGAAATGGATCCGGATCTCCAGTGCGGAACAGGTGAGGAGATGGTTTGGGAAATTCGTCGGTCACTTTCTGCAGCTGGTACAGCATCGATTTGCAAGTCATTGCTGCGAGGCACTGTTCTTGAAGGCTGCCCAATTCGTGGCGGAAGACAAAGCGGAATGGGAGCAGGATGGCGGCACACTTTCTCTCGAGCAGCTCTTTCTGGCGGTCGTAGAGGAGCTGCAACCAAATCTGGGCTATTTGTTGACGGAGCGATTTGCTTCTCATGTTGTGCGGGTTCTTCTGCTGGTGCTGTCAGGAGAGCCCTTGAACGATATATCCACCGTCTCCGTTCTCGCAAGTCGAAAGAAGGAGAAGATCGAGGCCTACTCAAATGGCGAGGAGAGTAATCCAGTGGCATCGAGAAAGGTGCCGCCATCATTCCATGAGGCGCTCAGCAGATTGATATCGAGCTCTGTCGCTACTCTCGACACAACTTACATCCGAGCACTAGCGACACACCCTACTGGCAACCCCACGCTCCAACTACTCCTTCGGCTAGAACTTGTGTCAGGTGGAAAATCCAGGGCAAAACATGCTGATTCCGTCTTGCACAGACTTCTTCCGGACGAGTCGCTAGAGGAAGACAGCGAGAGCGCCAAATTCGTCCAAGGTTTGATGTACGATCCTACCGGAAGCAGGCTGCTCGAGACAATCATTCAGAATGCTCCTGGAAAAATGTTCAAAAGGCTGTATGGCAATCTACTGAAGCAGCGGATTGGTGCCATGGCAAAGAATGACATTGCAAGCTATGTGGCTATTCGAGTCCTGGAGAGACTCAGCAAAGAGGATCTACAAAGTGCAAGAGATGAGATTCTCTCGGAAATGTCGACTTTGGTATTTCGCAACAGAATAGGCATCATTAAGGTTCTTGTGGAACGATGCAAGATTCGACATGTGGATATTGGGCCTGTTGTGGCAGCTCTACAAGCGGCTTACGGCGACAATTCTGGGGATTTGCTACTAAGAATGCTAAAATTGTTGCCCACCGGCGAGATAGCAGAACAACCTGATACTCGGCAGAAGCAGCCAGAGGACGGAAATGTGGAGAAAACAGCCGATATTCACGGCTCACTTCTAGCTCAAACTCTGCTCCAAAGCCCAACTGCATTCCCCCTCATCCACCAAGGCCTTCAATCCCTTTCCAGCGACGTCCTCCTCCGTCTCGCAAAGGACCCCTCTGCATCCCGAGTCCTTCAACAATCCCTCACCTCTCCCTGCTCCAATCCCCAGTCCAACCGCAAACTCATCCTCAGGTTCTACGGCCACATGGCTGACCTAGCTATGGATATCAGTGGTTCCCACCTCGCCGACGTGTTGTGGTGTGCAACGAATGGCTCGCATTTCATGAAAGAGCGGCTTGCTGAAGAGTTACGGGCTGCTGAGGGTCAACTTCGGGAGTCGAGGTATGGAAGGACAGTGTGGAGGAATTGGCATATGGATGTTTACCTGAGGAGGCCTGGAGAGTGGCAGGCGATGGCGAAGGAAAGCGTGGCAGAGCAGGCGAACGGCGAAGAAGATGGGACGAGTAAGAAGAGTAGATTGGAGCTGGCGAGGGAGCGGTTTGCGGAAAAGAAAGGGAGAAGGCAACGACTTGGTGGGAGGACGGATGTGGTGCCTGCTAACGCCTGAACAATGCTCTGTTGGGCCCGTTTGCACCGCGTTCTTCAGCTTACACAGGCTCTAGTGTTTGCTACGGGTAGGGCCAGGGGGGGGGGAAGGGATTGCACACCATCACTTCGAAGCGAAGATCAGCTTATACGTGCGTACGTCCTGATATCCTGATCTTCAGTTCGCAAGATAGCCACAGATGCGAAACCCCTTCGCAGATACATTCAAATATTCCCTCAGCAGAGCACTTGTCTACATCACGGACAGCGCTGGACAATTTCGAAAGGCACTGCTTTCGCATTCGTTTAAAGCTCTCCCACGTCTCCCTTTCGTCTTCGCGATCCCACCGGACTGGATAGATTCTCAATCTCAAACTCCATGCAAAACTTCCCCGCAAGAACTTTGCGGGCCGGGCCTACATCCATCCTTCTTGTTGCATACAAAATGGACATCCAGGCCGCTGGGACGAGCGGTGCAGTCACATGTTTCAGTCTACTCTTGAGAGGCTTATTGGAGACCCTTTCTTCTCAGACCCATTCCCGTATCCATCAACAGTCCCGGCATTTAAACCCCCATTACCCCCTTCGCCCGAGACAGCCCATACAGAGCCCAGATGCGGTGATAAAAAAAACCCTCTTCTCCGGCATGCACGCACGCATGCATTCATTCATTCCATCGGCACTAAATCCCACATATTCACGCACCATCATCATGAGAGAACGCTCACTCCATCCTGAGCCTCCCTCCAGGAATTAAAGGGGAAAAAAAGCCGGAAAAAGAGAGCCAAAGCAGCGTCTCTTCCAACACAACACTCAAACTGATAGTTAATTTTTTGCGGGGGTTTTTGGCTCGTCCCTGAAATCGGGCCAGGGTGCATCGCTCAGTGTAAAGCTACCTAGTGTAGAGAGATTGGAGCCACCAATACATACTTATGGCCCAGCGATCCCGTCACCTGGATTCAGTAGCAAACAGATGGTTACGCGGGATTTCACAATCCGATGATGACGACGACGACGACAACGACGACGACAACGACGACGACGACAAAAGAAACCCATGAGCAGTAACAAGCGCGAGAAACGATTGGAACGATTAGATCTCCCAATGTGCCTGCCTACCTACCTACCTAGCTACTGAGCTAGCCAGCTAAAAGCTCCCAGCCCCAATCCAATTTATCTCCTCCTCCTCCTCCTCCTCCAAAGCGTTCCAATCACCAACCACCCAGCTTCCTCAACCCATCCATCCATCCATCCATCCATCCCATCCTATCCCCTCCCAACCCCACTTCCCTTCCCTTCCCCTTCTCCACACACACAACCCCCTCTTAACCTACATCTTGTGCCCCCCCAAAAAAAAGATCATTCCTCCAACCGTGCCTCCAACCAACTTCCTCTCGATGCATGGAATGTGAGTAGATTAAATTTCGAGAAGATTAGAAAAGACTAGGAAAGGAAAAGGAAAGGAGAGGAGAGGAAAAAAGAAATACATGGATT